TTTTTTTGGTAAGAGGAGTTCCTTGTGACTCCCTGCATGTTGAAGTAAAAAATTAGTACAGACATCAAAAAAAGAGGTGGGGACTCCTCTTTTTGGTTCAATACAAGAACCCAGGAAATCCCCCAAAAAATGCTAAATGTCACCCCCCAAAAATGAAAAACTACAGTGACTCAACAGAGAGAAAAGAGTGTAAGATTGCATCTGCCCCTACAGTAATCATTTGTCTTTGTATGCCATTCTGACGTGGGGGACATTTAGAATATCTCCTTGCAGCAGATAAAGGAGAGCAGGTGGAGGGTTGACAGCAACCTCAGTCTCATTACAGTGTGATCCAAGTTGGGCCATCCAATTTGCAGGATGGTTTCCTTCCCTATAGATGAAAGTGAACTCAATTTGTATCTTGCTAGTGAGATCTCTGATTTTATTTAGCCAGTATGAGTAATGTTAAAGTGTCTCATCCTCCTGATTTAAGAGGGGAATAATCACAGCAGAGTCCACTTCGAGCCAAATCCTATTCCAATTAGCCTTAGTGGCAAAGTGGATTACCCAATACACAACAATGAGTTCAGTCTCAGTGGCATCATTGGCCAGGACTGGGGTATAAATAAATAAATAATTATATATATATACGATCTCTTCCTATAGGTGGCTTGTCTTCTATTTTTGGAAGCTTCTTGTTAGTTTTTCTGCTTCCTGGTGTTCTTGTCTCTCTAGTGGCAGTCGGGGGGGGATTATACTCTTGTGGGGGGGGCCATTGATGTGGAGAGCTGATGGTTGAACCCAACAATGAGGATTTAGCCACTAATATTCATTAGGCAAAGACCACCTTTGCTGATGTTGTGGGAAAAGGCTTTGACCCTATCAAAAGCTTTGATGATTTGCTTTTCCCTTAGAGCTACCATGAGGTGGCTGACCCCTTCATTAAACCCCTAAGTAGGAAAAGTGGTAAAATGGCTATTATTTACAATGAGGAAGATATTAATAACCTAACTGAAAACTGCAAATTCACACTAATTGGAAAATTTCAGCTAGGTCATCCCAAAATGGAAGCCATAAGGAAGTTCTTTGATGGCAGCAAACTTAAAGGAGCTTAAAAAGTGGGCCTTATTGATGGTAGACACATTCTCATCCATTTCTCATCCATCTAACTAGAGAAGATGATTATGCTAAAGTCTTTTCTAAACAAATCTTACAGATTGAGGGAAACACTATGAAAATATTTAAGTGGTCTACTGATTTTGATACAGGTAAGGAACTTCCTATAGTTCCTATTTGGTTAAAGCTCTCTGGACTAAAGCTCCATTTCTTTAACCATAAAGTTCTGTTTAACATTAGAGAAGCCTTGGGTAAACCTCTTAAGTTGGATGTTCCAACTTTTAATTTATCAAGACCATCTGTGGCAAGAATCTTAGTGGAAAGGGACCTTACTCTCCCAACTGTGGATGAAATATGGTTGGGAACTGAACACAATGGGTATTGGCAGAAAATCATTGCTGAACAGAAGCCCTATTATTGTTTCCATTGCTTCATGTTTGGGCACACTGACAATAAATGTTTTAAACTACATCCTCGCCTAAGGATCGATCATCATGCGGCTTCAAAAGATGCTGCTATGTCTGAGAGAGAAAGGGATATTTCTGATAAGTGTCTTGGTGAAACCATTTTTGAGAGGAATGTCCATGGTCCTGATGAAACTATCTTGGTCACCAAGGCTGCTGTGGCCATTGAGACTGAAAAAGTAGACAATCAGTTAAATATAGATTGTCCTGACCATTACTTGCTGAATGTGACTAAAAATTTACCTAAGGAGGCTATTGGCCCTTCAATATGTCACCTTGAACCATCTGCAAAACAGATCATAACCAGTGAAGAAAATGCCCCTACAACCTCTGACCAAGAGCCCTTGAACTCTCAGTTGGAAGTTGGTGAGGTGGTTCAAAAGGATTTTCCAGTGGACTCCACTTTAGTGGAGGTACTTCAGACTGCATTGGCTGATGATTGGCAAACTCAAAAAGCAAGAAAACAGAAAAAGACCATCCAAGAGTTAAATAATGTGAAGGGAGGAACTTATTTACTCAGGGATAGAAATATCCATTTAGAAACCAAGGAGGCCATGGCCAACTCTAGAAGGAGGGGTAAATCCATCTCCTTTGGATGATGAACCTATTGTGTTGGAATGTTAGGGGATTGGCACATCCTAAATCCCTTAACAGACTCAGTGCTTTGAATAGGATGTATAAATTATGGTTTATAGCTGTTTTGGAACCAATGGTGTCTAAATACCCTCAGAAAATCCTTAGAAAATTTTCTGGTTTTTCCTATTTTGCTAGTCTGAATAATAAGATTTGGTTACGTTATAGAAAGGAAGTTATGTGTCAAGTTTTGTGGGATCATCCACAATTCCTTCATTTTCATTTTAGCTTTGGGGATAAATAAGGTCTAGCTACTTTTATCTATGCTGGAAGCTCTCCTAGAGCTAAAGTGGAGCTGTGGGAGAGTATTCAAAATATCAGCATTTCCTGTAACTCAGTTTGGTTGGTGGGAGGGGACTTTAACTCCATTTTTGCCCCTTCTGAAAAATTAGGAGGCAATCCTCCTAACTTTAATTCTATGAATTTCTTTAATGACAACATCAGCTTGGCTGGCTTATTTGATCTTGGTTTCACTTGTCCCAAGTTTACTTGGAGGAGAAGACCTTTATGGGAAAGATTGGATAGAATCCTAGTTAACTCTCTGTGGCTGAATGAATTCTTACACACCTTTGTCCAACATCTTAGCATGACTGGATCTGATCATAGGCTTTTACTCATCACCATTTTTGCATCTCCTGTTAAGCACAAAGCCAACTTTAGATACCTCAAGATGTGGTCCTCTCATACTGATTTTCCTAATCAAATTTCCTTAGGGTGGAGAGAATGTTTTCACCCTAATCCACTGATCAAACTGTGGTTGTTGCAAAAGAAGATTGGCAAGCATTTATCTAATTGGAACTAGAATGTTGTTGGAGATGTTAACTTGGGAGTTAAAGAGGCTAATAAGGAAGTGCTTGATATGGAAGCTAGGCTTCAGACCAATCCAGAAACTGAATCAAATTTACAACTGGCTAATGAAAAATTGATGAATGCTATTAGTATGCAGGAGGAATTCTATGCCCAAAAGGCTGCAAAAATCAGATTCTCTGAAGGGGATAGAAATACTAAGTACATTCATGCTTGTATCAACTATAGGACTAGATGAGAGGAGATGTAATATATTTGAAATTGGATTCTTAATTAAAGATCAATTAGGGCATTGGATATTCTCTGAAGACTTAATTGCAGCAAGTGCCATCCAGCATTTTCAAACTTTGTTCACTCAACCTCCTATCACCAGATTACCAGTCCAACAGGATCTTTTTGATCAGGGATATACTAGAAATCTGAAATTGGATTCTATCCCTGGGGAATTGGAAATTTGGTCAGCGCTGAACTCAATTGACAGCTCCAAAGTTGCTGGTCCTGATGGATTCTCAGCTAATTTCTACAAAAAAGCTTGGAAGATCATCAAGGGGGATGTTATTGAGGCAGTACAAAGCTTCTTCAATGGGATGAATTTGCCTAAATATTTTAACTGTTCTACCATTTTTTTAATCCCCAAAAACAATTCCAAGCTCTCTTGGGATCAGTTCAGGCCAATTAATCTCACAAATATTATGTCCAAAATTATTAGCAAAATTATTTCAAACAGATTGCAACCTCACTTACCTCATCTTATCAGTGAAAACCAATCAGCTTTTGTGCAAGGTCAAAGCATAGTGGAAAATGTTCTCTTGGCACAAGAACTAGTCCTCCACCTGGACAAATAGTGCAGAGGAGGAAATCTCATTTTCAAACTTGAAATCCAAAAGGCCTATGATACCATTAATTGGGATTTCAATGTGGAGGTGGTGTCTACTAGAGGTTTCTCTCAATTTTTTATTTCCCCTGATCCTAAGGTGGTTGTCAAATAATCATCAATCCATCTTCATTAATGGGAAGTCTCGTGGTTTCTTCACTACTACCAGAGGTATCAAGCTAGGTGACCCCTTATCCCCTACTATCTTTATACTTGCATTTGATTACTTATCAAAATTTTTGAATTAATTTATGGCCAAAGCTCCTCACTCTCTTTATAGCCACAGATCTAACATTGTAATTAACCATTTAACCTTTGCTGATGATGTAATTATATTTGCAAAAGAAACTAAATCCACAGTCAAATTATTGTTCCAATGCCTGGAGAAATTCCTAGATTGCTCTGGGATAATGTTTCATAAACAAAAATGCCAGGTTGTCTGCAGTAAATGGGTGAAGACTGAAATCAAACACTGGATTTCAGATTTCACTGGTTTTTGCTCCAGATCTCTACCTCTAAAATACTTAGGCACCTTATTGATTAAAGGGAGGACTAGGCAAGTCTAGTTTGATGATATTCTTCAAAAAGTTCAAGATAAACGCAATAGTTGGTCCGATACTTTTCTGTCCAATGGGGGAAGAATTACCCTTCTTAAAAGCAACTTAGCAGCTCTCCCATCTTATTTATCTCAGGTTTCTAATATGAAGAAACCCATCCAAACCTCACTTGAAAGAACTTTCAATAGATTTTTATGGGCAGGCCAGAGAAAGCAAGTGCATTGGGTGAGATGGCAAAGCATCTGTGGCAGTACAAGAGCTGGTGGCCTGGGGTTTAAAAGCTTCAAACAGATTATCCAAACTAATTTTTGCAAACTTTGGGTTATGTTTAGAGCACAGACTTCAATTTGGGCAAAATTTCTGTAAGGAAAATACTGTAGAGATCAACATCCTTCTCTTGTGACCAACAGATTAGGGGACTCTAGAACTTGGAAGAATATGTTGAAGATGAGAACAGAGGCTGAACAGCTTTTCATTTGGGATATTGGGGAAGGCAGACTAAATGTGTGGCTTGATAACTGGACTGGAGAAGGCTTAATCTCTCCTCTAATTGATTCTCATTTCAACTCAACAACACAAGTGTCTGACCTTTTTGTCTGCTAATGGTTGGAACCAGCAAGCTCTTGAGAATATCCTTGACAATAGATTAATCAACACTATAATGAAAAAACCATTTGATAGATCCAGGAAGGACAAACTTATTGTGAAGAAGAAGGCTTCCCAGACAATTTCAGCTTCCATTGCTAATTTTGGCTTTCCTCAACATGAGATATCTTGGACTAAATGTGTGTGGAACAAGTATCCTTCTCCTTCCATGGCCTTTTTCTCTTGGAAGCTCTTTTATGGCTTCATCCCCACTGATGATATTTTAAAGTTAAAAGGTTTGAGAGGCCCTTCAAGATGCTGTCTGTGTAAATGTGAGGAGGAATCCCTCCCCCATTTATTCTTTAAATGCTATCAAGCTCAATAGGTTTGGAACATTTTGATACCCAAATTAAAACAAAATACCATCTAGCTGTCTTGGGAGGTGTTTTATTCAAGTTGGAAAGATTGGCAGGACCAAAAGCTCCCTCCCATCCCTTGTATCATGTCATGGTTTGTTTGGATGGCAAGAAATAAGCTGAAATTTGATGAGGTCCATTGGGATGTAAATGCCATTGCCACACACTGTTACAGCTATTTACAGAAACTGTACTACCATAGGAAACTCCCTGACATCCTATGCACATCTTCCATCCTTTGTACAAGAAAACTTCAAACTATCCTTGTTCACTGGAATTGTCCTCCTCTGGGTTGGGTCAAAGTCAATACTGATGGTAGCTTCATGTCTCCTATTGCTGGCTTTGGAGGGGTTTTCAGAAACACTAGAGGTGAATGTCTACTATATTTTCAGTCTCCTGCCATAGCCGAAGACCCTCTGGAAGCTTAATCCCAAGCTATTTTTTGGGTTGTTTTCTTGGCCATAAAATGCAAGTGGAATCTCTTAATGGTGGAAACTGACTCTATGATCTTACTTAACATCCTGGAAGGAAGGTCCTGGAAGGAAGGATTTACTTACTTAACATCCTGGAAGGAAGGATTTCTGCCCCTTGGTATCTAAATCAGTGGCCTTCTGGTATACAAACCTTGAGATTGAGGATAAAGCTGTCCCTTTCTCGTACTTTTAGGGAGGGTAATAAACCTTCCAATTGGCTTGCTAAGGATGGTCTCCATACTCAGAACCCCATCATTGATACTTGTACCACTCCCCATTTAGAGTTGCTGTTGAAAGGAGATCTTGTTGATCTACCTTTTCGTAGAGTTTTGCCACTTTAACTTTTGGGAAGTGCATCCTTGCCTTCCTTTTTTGTACCCTTTGTATCTTTTATTAATGATATAGGAGCCTAGTCTCCTTTTATTAATATATATATATATATATATATATATATATGTATATATGTATAATTCACGATGGTGGCGGCTGGCTTCTCTAGTGCTCTGCTAGGGTTTTGGCAGAATGGTTCTAGATGTTGTTGATGGTGTAATCTCAGTTGCCTTCTCAAGCTTCAATATATTTTTCTCCTCACATCTCTGGTTACTTCAAGTTTTTTTTTTCTCTAGCTCCTTCCCTCTTCCCGGGCATCTGTTTTTCAAATTTTCACAGTTCCATTGCTTAGCTCCACTGTTACTGTTTTGGTTTTATTTTTTGGTTACTTGGGGTTTATCTTTGATGGTCCTTTTTGCTTACTCTACTGTTCTAATAGCTTCCCTTTTGATTGTTCCACTTGTTATTTTGACTAATTTTGGTGCTGTGGTGGGTTCTTCAGTGATGACTGACCCTAATGATATTGACCTTACAACTAATATTCAGTGGGCTAAGGCCACATTTGCTGATATTATTGGGAAAGGCTCTGAAAATGTCCAAAATCCTGACGACCTGGTATTCCCTCAAGAGTACCATGAGAAAAATTACCCTCTTTTCAAACCTATATGCAAGAAAAGTGGGAAGATTGCTATCTATTTTACTGAGGAGGACTTAAATGGTCTGATAGAATGCTACAAATTCTCCTTAATTGGCAAATTTCAACTTGGCCATCCTAGAACGGAATTTGTGAGAAGATTCTTTGATGGACTAAAATTCAAAGGTGCTTGGAAAGTGGGACTTCTTCATCGGAGACAGATACTCATCAACCTAACGAAGGAAGAAGACTATGCTAGAATATTCTCAAGACAATCCATATTGATTGAA